AGAACGACTTATTAGCAGTTCTGACTAGTTTAAAAACACATACAAACATTTGCTAATTGCCTGACGGTACTAGGATAGAACCAGTTTCAAGCCGATTCTCAATCCAATTTCCGATACGAAACAGTTTTTTAATTTTATTCAAACTAATTTAACATTCTAAAAAATATTTTCTTGGAAAAAAATCAAAAAATTAAAGACTATAAACTAAAGTAATGAAGTAATCAAATTATTAAAAATTTCAATATATTAAAATTAAAGACTCAAGACTCTAGTCACATTTTACATATTATACTTTAAATTTAACTAGAATATTACATAAGTCTAGTAAAAAACAACATTACATAAGTAATTAAGTTAATAATATTTAATAATTCAATTCCAATATTCGTTGCAATTTCCGTTTCTCTCGGGGTTTTAGCTTTCATGAAGTGTTGTTCATTTAGGGTGTAACTTGCTTCTTGCATTCGACATCAGTCTAATAAGCAAACAAGTATCTCGAGCAATTTGCCACATAGGTTGTACGATAGTTGCTCAATGTGTTTCTACCAAACTAAACTATCTTAGAAAGTATGGCCAATGCTAAATGGGGTGAATAGCATTGTAAAAAATGATTAAAAAATTTCGCAAAGATAGTAAATTTGTTAAAAGCGTAGGAGCGAAAATAAGGCAGTGAAGAAAAGAGTGTAAAGTAAAGAGAGGAAGAGCGCACAGATGTATATTACTTCACTACAACTTGTGGCTAGTCTAGTCCCCGAGAGTCTCACGAGATTTCCATTACCTCGTTTAGCTTAGGGGTGTTTAACAAATAGTTAGAACTTGAGTCACACAAGCCTCAGCGAACAACCAAACTAATGCACCCTTCCTTTGAACAGCCAAGAAAACAATGCAACCCTCCTTGAAGTGTAATAATACAAAGCACTCAACAATAATAATTCTCTCAAAGAATAGAATATGAGTAGACTTGCTTAAATACAAGAGGATATACAAACTAAGTTGAGGTTTTTACCAATGCAAATGCAAATGATGCAATTACTCCTAGGCAATAACATCGGTTATGAAACAACCGATGCAAAAGGTCTTCATTAGGGGTGGGCGTGAAATCCGTTCCCATTGGACCGTTCTGAAAAATCCCGGATCCGTTTTGTAATTGTACCGATATATTGGGACACATTTTTTTGTCCCGAACCCGTTCCGTCCCAATATCAAATGGGACATGAGCGGGACAACTTAAATTTATACCGATCCGTCCCGTTTGTCCCATTTCATCTACTCTACTAATATATAATACTAATTCTAGTCCAAAATCCAAACACACTCATTCTTAAATTAATTAGTTATTTAATTAAATTAACTTCATGAGCTTGGAATTTATTTGGACCCGTTTCACTCATTGTTTTTTGTTGGATGGCTAGATGTTTCTTTTTTTTTTGAATGAAATTTCACCCTCTTCCCCTTTTTATATTTGCGATTAGGACAAAGTAGGACGACCCGAATCCGTCCCGTTTTATTCCGATCCCGAATTTTATGGGACAAACCGGGATAAGATTGTAATCCGAACCGTTCTAGACCGTTTATATATAACGGGACAAGACGTGGGACAATCTAAAATCCGGACCGTCCCAATCCGTGCCCACCCCTAGTCTTCATTAGCGCCCCCTAAGTGAAGGGCTTTAGCATCGGTTGATTTGAAATAACCGCTGCCAAAGCCTAACTTTTTTTAAAAACATAGTGCTTTGGGATCAGTTGTTCTGAAAGAACTGATGACAAAGCCTTTTTTTTAAATAAGGGCTTTGGCATCGGTTGTTTCGAAACAACCGATGCCAAAACCCTTACTTTTAAATAATATGGGGCTTTGGCATCTGTTATTTTGAAACAACCGATGCCAAAGCCCTTACTTTTTTAAAAAAACTTTGGCATCGGTTGTTTCGTAACAACTAATGCCAAAGCCCCATTTTTTTTAAAAAATGGAAATTCTAAAATAAGGAATTCACAAAACATTTAGATAGAATACTAAATAAGGACTTCAAAGGCATACAAGCGAACATACAAGAAGTGTCCCAAACAAGTTGAGTGTATTAAATTAAGTTAAATGAACAAATAAAGTCAAAATTTTTGCTATATGACATGCTTTTCAATAGATACTAAATATAATAGTTCTTCCTTTGTGAAACATGACTCTCTTTTTGGCTATAGGTGGGAATTCTTTACGTTATAGTTGTTACAAAGTTAAGGTACAATTCTGCCTTTCCCTTTGCGACTTGTGAGTTTTGGCAGCAGGGATTGATCTTAATTATCTAAAAGGACACACCTTTCATCAGCCCAGTAGGAAGATTGATCAATAGATGGAAGTACAAGGGTCGCCTTCATGATTTTAGCTACATCAACCATATCACAAATCTGCATTTCCTCCACAACAAAACAATTGACGACATGTTGTTAGCCCGTCTCAGTAAACGTATAAAACAATCCGATCGCACCGTTGGATTCGTTCCGTCAAATCCTACACAACGGTATAACTTTTAATATTTATTGACAAATATTTTAAATAAACTTCGGGTTCGTCTCAATAATTAATTAATTATAATTAATTAATTAATTATGATAGGCCGGGTTTTGGGGCGTTACATTCTCTCTTCAACAAAAGCTTATGTCCAAAAGAAAATTTCCAAGGACCAATCCTCACGCTCCTTCATTCAAGTTGAAGCCAGCAAACGAAAGGTTAATATAATCCCTCCAACGGATAGATTAAATCATCCAGCCACCTATATATAGCTCCTACGGAAGATTAAAGAATACACACCATCTACAACCAATCACAGTTAACTAAGAGTGAAACATCCTCAAACGCTTGACAAAGAGAGAATTCAAAAACTCCTTATCTAGAAGCAAACTTCTCCTTCTTCCAAAGAGCTATAAGTGAAAATACTTGAAGGTTTCCTTGCCTCAAGTACAACACCGAGTTGAAGGATATTTTTAATCAAACATCTTGATTAAAGCGGGGCACGTTAGTTTTCCTACAAACTGATCTTGCAAGTCCTATTGTTCGGATCTTGCAATTGTTGAAGAAGCTTGACATTCGAAGGAACAACAAATCCAGCACAAGTGAAGTAGCAACATTTGCCTTGCGAAGATATACCGTGCTTTCACTATTGTAAATATTGGTTCACCTTCAACAACCAATTACCTAGTGGATTCTGAGGACGTAGAAGGATTATCCCACCTTCAAACCTCGTTAAAGTTTGTGTGTCTATCTCTCTCTAATTTTTTATGTGATTATATTAAACTGTGAAACTAACTGATCCATATTGGATTACTACTCCAATATTCCACCAACTTCCGCACACTTAATCTAAGAATTTTATATTAACAACTTGTTAGACACGATTTTATTATGTGGCCTGAGTTATCATTTATCTAATTAATTGATCATTGACCTAATAAATACCCTACGTACTTAATTGGTAATTATTCGATGGACATAATTACCCTTATGACCTAATTAGGGTTTCCCCTTGGGTGTATATATATAGAGGTCATTAGGCAGAGATCAACACACCAATCTTACGCCTCCTCTCTGCCTCTCTATTCTCGTGAGTCTCGCCCTCACCTTAGCCATCATAACGATACACCCTAAACGGGAACTCGATCTGCGTGAGAATCATGGCCTCATCCCTAACAACGTTTACAGGATTATCAGGTACACATGATTAAATCCCTAATTTATATTTTATGTTTAAGAATTGATCAACATGTGGTATCGGAGCTAAATGTTGATTAATCAATTCTTTTGTTTCCCAAGAAAAAAAACTGGAATTAAAATCAAAATCAGATATTTTTTTCATGGATTGAGAATCGGATTGGATTTTTTTTCTTTTTCTTCCTAAACCTAACGAAACTGTGATGAGGGTAGATCTTGTTTCCACATTAAAAGCAGTCAGTTTTCTAAATTGACTCTTAAAAACTAATTGGCTTATGTTTCCGATTATGAGTAAGCATCAGTTTGGTAAATTGATTGTGGAGTTCCACCTAATTTTCTTGCAAATTCGATAGTGCTCTAATTCTTCTTGGTGTTTAAATTTGTAATCCATACGTTCAAAAAAAATATTGTTTTGTGTTTTGTTTCCAGTAACTATGAATCTAAATAAAGTTTTCATGTTCTTCATCCTTATTTTGATGAAATCATCTTATTTTGGTATTTGATTTGGAATATAATTGTGTTTTCTTAAATTATATGGCATATCTCACTTTTGCATAATATATTCTATTTCCTTATTTATTAATTTATTTTACTTTGAATAGCAAAACTAAGTAAGAAATATGCTAAAATACCATAAAAAATTTAAAATGTTTACTTGTTGGAAAATCTCTTGCCTTATATGCCTTTTGACTTTCTAATTAAATTAATCTTAATGGGTCCCCAATTTTTTTCGTAGCCCCGCACCGAACCGCTTTAATTTTTGCGGTTAATTAATTATTAACATTAAATTTATAAATCATTTGACGAATCTTAAATAAAATTTATTTTATAATTAGTTAAATTGATTTATTTTGCTTGACTTGAATAATACCTTAGAATACACTTCTGCCCAAAGGTGATGTGTAACATTTGTAAAATTTATTTCAAGTCTTATTAAGCATTGTCATTTAGTGCATATCCTTAAATAGATATTTGCATGACACTTACCTTAAAATACATAATTTTTCACTTCTGTCCAAAGATGATGTAACGCCTCGAAACCCGGCTTAATATTTTATTTAATTTATAAAATTAATTAATTATTAGGCCGGTCAACACGAGGGTTATTTTCTAACTTGCCTTAATTAATTTGGGGTTAATCCTATCTTGTAGAGCTCGCTGTTCTGAACTCGATCGCACAAACAGATCGTAAATCGGGCTTATTGGGTCCAAGATACGGTTGACGAATCAGATAATTGGAGTTAAACTTATCCAAATTGGTTAAGTATTTAATTATATATTAAACTAGCTTGGGAGTTACAGACACGCACAAAACCTCTCCTTCTTCCCTGCGTCCGTTTCCTCCGCCGTTTTGCTCGTTCCCTCTGCACGCTGCACCGACGACGAGATGCGACCAGGAATCCGACACTATTCCGGTTCGCGTGCGCCAGGCCGACGGGAAGCAGCGGCGACCAACCCTTCCTCTCTAAGATCTGATTTCTTCAAGTTTTGAGGTGATTCGTGATTCCTGTGCCTATAGTTGTCATTAATTCGTAGTTTAGGATCTTGTGGTAGCAATTTTGTGTTTGATTGTGAAATTTGTGGTTGAATGTGCATTAGATTGGATTGGGGTTGTGTTGGGGGCTGTTTTCCGGCGCTTCGACGGCGGCTGGCCGGTG